TTTGTCTTTATAGTTCTTTTTATAAGAATCTGTATATGTCTAATTTTTAAAAGATCTTGTCTAATCAAACACTCGTAATTTAATATACCAAAAAACCACATAAAAGTGTTAAAACAAAATCAAATTCTATTGAATAAATAAAATATTGACATGACAATATACAATAAAACTTTAATTCTTCTAACCAAAGAAAATAAATTTTGTAATTATCTTTGACTCCATTCTTGTTATGTATTGGTTCTTTCAAATCATATCTAAATATTTTTGCCTTCAAATAGTTTTAACTTTTATAAGTAATAGGTATAATATGTTTTTTTAACAATTAGTCTTTATAATAACTTACAACAAACAATGGTGATAAACTTATTATATTATAATAAATAAAGTGTTTTTTAAACAAGAATTTATTTATATTATATGTAAAACAACATTTTATTATTAATTTTAGATGGTTTTATATAATTAAAAGTAAAATTTTTAATTAATAGATTTTTATAATTTTAAATTAAGTTGATTTTTTTATATTTAAATAATTTTTTTATGTTTATAAATTTTATTAGTTAGTATAATATTAGAATTTGGAATTTTCTTAATAAGTCAAAAATAGAAAATAACTAACTTAAAAATATAATTAATTACATAAAATGATGTGGACCAATGAATTTAATATTTTATATGATATTTTATAATCTAATAATATGTTAAAAAAATATTGTTAATATGAAAATAAGATCTAATTTCCATACTTTTTAAACCTGTTTTTATTAATAAGTATTTACAAATTTAGAAACTTTTCTAATAACAACAAAAACAAAATTAAATAATTTTTAGAAACATTACTAATAAGAATAAGAATGAAATTAATTAATTTTCATATATATAATTAACTATAGACGATTAGGTGTACCAATAGAATTAAATCTTTTAAATCCTATGTGGACACTCTTAGAGGTCTATAGTATTTTTAATTTATTTTAATCTATAATTAATTAACAAACATTTTAGTTAAAGAATTTCAAAACTCCTTTACCAATGGCTAACAATATTTACGTCAAAACATTAATTATTTTCCTTACTTATTTTTTCCAATTTGAGTTTACCAAACATACATGGAGGAATTACTGAATATGACTCAAAACTTGAGTTGAAATGTAAAACTAGACCCCTTATTGTATGTTTGACAAAAATAACTCACAGGAGTAGTGAAATTACAACTATAACTCTTATGACCAAACAAAAAAATGTCAGCCTCAATTACTGTTTTATCCTATGAGAAGTCTACTCTCTAATAATATGTTTACAATTAATTTTAAAAATCATAAAAATTAATTTGATTAAAAAATTAGATACATAACACAAATATATACTTTTTACACCTATTAAAAATAAATTTTGACACAAAATAATCTATTTAAATCATATAGATAAATTAGGATAAAAATCAATACTAAGAGACTTCTCGAGTAGACTTCTCCGTTTTTCGAGTAGACTTCTCCAAGAAGTCTACTCTCTAATATTTTTTTTATCATTAATTAAAAAAAATCATGAAAAATAATTTGGTAAAACAATTATATACATAAAAACATATATTTTTTACACCTATTAAAAATAAAATTTTATAAAAAAATAATCAATTAAATCATCATAGATAAATTAGGTTAGAAATCAATACTAAGTAGACTTCTCGAGTAGAAGTCTACTTAAACGAATTTTTTTCTACATATATAAGGAGAGTTTAACCTAAATGTATTAACAATAAAGTCTCTCTCTATCTAAAAAACGCCTCTCTATCTTCTCCCTTCTCTCTGGCCATGAATTTCTTCTTGTTCTTCTCTTGCTATCAATATCCTCTCCATCTTCTCTATCTTGCATTTAACCTCCTCTCACTTGCAGGTTATGGTAGTGGTAAGCAAATCTGAGCTTTTGTGTTCCTATTTTTGTTTGCTTTGTGTTCATATTGCAAATCTAAGCTTACTATTATGGATTTGAGCTTATTGTTGTAGATCTAAGTTTATTTTTGTAGATCTGAGTTTATTGTTGTATAAATTTTGTAGATTTTGTTGTAGATATGAATTTGGTGATTTTTTGCAGATTTGAATGTTATAAATATAGTAGATTATTATTATAGATCCGAGCTTATTATTATGGATTTGAGCTTATTGTTGTAGATCTAAGTTTATTTTTGTAGATCTGAATTTATTGTTGTATAAATTTTGTTGATTTTGTTGTAGATCTGAATTTTGTTGTAGATCTAAATTTTTTGTTATTGTTGCAGAGCTGAATTTTATTGATTTTTTTACAGATCTGAATGTTATAAATATAGTCGATTATGTTGCAAATCTAAATTTTAACATTTCTCTTTCTTATTGTTGGAGATCTGACCTTATTTATATTTATGGTTTTGTTCTACAGATCTCAACAAAGCTCTTGCTTGTCTCTGCCGGATTTAAGTGATTTGAAGGTTCAAAACATTTAGAATTCTCGAGTAGACTTCCCGAGTAGATTTCTCGAGTAGACTTCTCGTGCAGACTTCTTGACTTCTCGAGTAGACTTCTTGAGTAGACTTCTTAAGCAAACTTCTCAAGCAGACTTCAGTTGCATACATATTTTTCAGAGATTTTAGTTTAATAGTGATTTCTTGTGCCAATTTTAAGATTTATAATCAGTGATCCTTAAATGTTTGTTTGTTTAGAAGGTTATTTTCTATGTAATATTGAATTGCATTGAATGTTTTATATTATATTCCTAAATTATGTGTGTTTATGTATTCTACAAAATAAACTTCTCTTGTCTTGAGTAGACTTCTTAAATACATTAATTTTACATAACTTAAAGGTGATTCAGAGGGACATTCTCCCATTTATATCATATAACTTGTCAATCGAGTAGATTTCTCTTGTCTCGAGTAGACTTCTGAAGTAGACTTCTCTTGTCTCGAGTAGACTTCTTAAAGACATTAATTTTACATAACTTAAAGGTGACAACATTTGCGCTCCTTTGCTATTCGCCCTCCTTTGCCAACATTCACCAAGAAGCTCACCATGTGTGCAACCATCTCTTAAGAACAGCATTCGCCCTCCTTTGCTATTATCCACCTCGAACTGCCACACTGATTCACTCCTCACCCATTCTCCATAAACAGCGGGTATGTGAACCATTCTATGTAAAAAAAATAAAAATCCAAACCACATTAGAAATCAAAATTGAATAATTATACTTCTCTGAAAGTCGGATGAAGTCTACTTAGTTGACTTCTCGAGTAGACTTCTTGGAGAAGTCTACTCTTAATAAGCTAAGTATCATATAAAACATAAAAACTGATTCAATTATACCTATAAAATATAAAGATGTAAAACTTATGCATAAGCAAGAACATTTACTAAAAGAAGCTTAGGATCATGAAAATCTTAAAAATTCGTTATATATTGTATAAAATGATTTTTTTTAAAAAACAAGAAAAGTAGACTTCTCAGATAAAAGTAGACTTCTCACGGGTTAATTTTGCAATTGCCAAAAGATTAGTAGACTTCTTCAAGAAAAATAGACTTCTTTGAGAAGTAGACTTCTTTGAGCCGCAGGTCATTTTTGCAATTGACCAAAAAGTCAAATATTTTTCAATTGCAAAAATGACATACGAGAAGTCTACTTCTGAAGAAGTCTACTTCTCAGAGAAGTCTACTTTTCATGGAGAAGTCTACTCTACAAAGTCAAAGGTTGGTCAATTGCAAAAATGACATGCTTCTAAAGAAGTCTACTCGAGAAGTCTACTCCATTATAAAAGGAAATTGAGTAAACTTCATTCAGACCAAAAGAAGTCTACTTTTTTCATGCGGTCAATTGCAAACTAATCTGGGCGTTGACTAGAAGTCTACTTTCAAAGCCCATAACTGAAAATCACTAAAATTGACTGAAAATCCGACTTACCACTTGTCTTTAGCTTCTTTTCTGGTCAAGATCTTCGATTTTAGCCACCATGAAATAAACACAACCGCAAAAAACAACCAATTCGCCGGAATATAGAAATATATATAAACTTCAACTTTCTAATAGTCAAATTATATAGTTTTTGGGAAGAAAATAGAGAGAAAATGGAAGAATATAAGCTTAAGAGAAAGGTAATCAGCTAAACAAACTCAAAAATGGTTTTTGGTGCCATTAAAGCTCGAAATTGGTTGAAAATGGTGGTTGGGTGAATTGATGATGATGGCATTTTCGGAAATAAGTGAGAAAGATGAGGATTAGTTGGTCATTTGGATTTTCGAAAATTAAAGAAATTAATTTAAAACAATGGCAATTTCGTGAATAACTGAAACTATGAAGGATTTATTTGGGAAAAAGTGGCAAATTTTGAAGTAACCAAATTTTATAGGTTAGATTTGCAATTGAAATCAATTTTTGAGTCATTTTTGCAAGAATTCCAAAATACATTTACTTTTTTGACTATTTGCCTTCCATTCTTATTTTATTTACTATTTTAATTTATATATTAAATAATATTTGTAAATGTGAATTAATTTTGTTAATCTGTATACTGTTAGATAGAACATAAATTAAAACGAGTTCAAATATTTATACTTCTGTTTTGAAATAAAATCAACAAATAAAAGTCGATCAATCTTTAAATATTAAATATCTTTGAAATACACTAGTTTTGGATTTACCAAAATCTAATTGAGATTGCATTTATCATAACAAGATATAGTTTAGATCAAATTTTTGTAGCAAAAATATATTCGTCTGTGTAAATGCTACAAAAATGGCATAAAACTGTTCAAATCATAATTTTCAATTTGTCTTTATTGTTCTTTTTATGAAAATTTGTATATGTCTAATTTTAAAAATGTCTTGTCTAATCAAACATTTGTAATCTAATATACCAAAAACCACCTAAAATTGTAAAAAATCAAAATCAAAAATTCTATATTTTTTTTGTTCAACACATGATTTTTCATTCATTTAAAGGTCCATTACACACAGGTTACTTAAAGCTTGTTTGGCTATAGAATCAGCCACAATACTTTCCGCACGGGGGATATAACTAAACTTCACTCTAACAAAGTAGGTAATTGCAGTAAATACATCCTCCATAATTGATTGTACTTCTAAGATTGGAGCTCGGTTGTTGATCGCTATGATCAAAGAGGTTGAGTCAGAGAAGAAATGTACTGATGTGATCTGTCTTTTGATTGCATCCAGGAGGGCTTCCCTTAATGCTAGAGCTTCAGCGACAAGGGCCGATGCTACATGCATTTTGGATCCAAATCCATTTATGATACTTTCCGATGGCCAGCGAAATGTCCATCCGAATCCTGCATATTTGGAATTCGCCTGCCATGCCGCATCTGAGTAACAGGGTATTAGATCGGGATCTTCCACACGATCGTGCCCAGAGGGAACTTTTGCCACGGGGGACTTTTGGGAGCAGGGTTCTTGTGCCAAACTCCATTCTCTTGCATCTTGGATCGCTTTAGTCCATGTTTCTTGAGTCGAGAACGATCTGGAATTGAAGATTTTTTGGTTTCTAGCAATCCAAAGTCCCCGGCAAATCCAGGCTGAGAGGGTGCCCCAACTTAGCCCTGCCGGTGGAAGAGGGCGAAGCGATCTAATTGTAGCCAGTCCAGATGTTACGTCAATCACCTGGGCTGTATCGAGGGTCGACGAGAATGGAGCTTCCGCCCAGACTTGTAGAGCATAGTCACAGTGGAACAATAGGTGGAGGATTGTTTCCGGTTGGTCGCATCTGCAGCACTTCGGGTTTATTGGGATATATCTCGCTGCCAGTAGTTCCCCCACCGGTATTGCTCCATGTAATACTTTCCATAGAAACATCTTTATTTTTGGGACTGTTTGTAGATTCCAAACTTGCTTATACCAGTCTGCGACAGGGGGGTGAACATTTGGGTACTTATGGAGGATTCTTTCCATGGCTACAGAGTAACCAGATTTTGTTGAATAAGACCCTGAGGAATGTCCCAACCAGAGGAGGCTATCTTTATTACCTAGAAGACTTGGATTCACAGCCAGTATGTCATTACGATGAGCAGGTAAGACTAATTCGATTTTCTCCACATTCCACTATCCGGTTTCCTCACATAAAAGGTCCAAGACTTTTAGATCTTTCAGGTCTCGCGGAGCCGGGCCAACAGGGGATCGTTGATTTTTTAGGGAGAGCCAAGGGTCTCGCCAGACCGAAACATCTTTTCCGTTCCCAATAACCTATCCCAGATTCTGGATGAGAAGATCCCTTCCAAGCAAGATGCTTCTCCAACCGTGAGAGCTAGTTGATGGTGTCACGCATTCCAGGAAGGCAGTGTTCATACACTATTTTCCCAAGAGTACTCTTGCCACGAGAGAGTTGGGATTTGTATGCAAACGCCAGCTTAAATTTGCGAGAAGGGCCTCACTGAAGCTTGAGATGTCTTTAAAACCCAGCCCTCCCATGCCTTTTGGGAATATCATCTTGTCCCATGCCGTCCAGCACATACTGTGCTTCTCAGGATCAGAGTCCCACCAGAATCGCGTTAGAGCAGACTGGATGCATTTACATAAAGATTGGGGAAGCTTGAAGCAGGAGCAGGACATGGCATAAGATGGGATTGCGAACATGACACTTTTAAGTAGCATTTTTCCTGCACCTGAGAGCATTTTCGAAGACCAGCAGCAGGCCTTCTGCTTTATCTTATCCACTATGGATGTGAAAAGATCCCTTTTTGTTCGTCCAAAGTGTTCAGGAAAACCAGGTATTTGCCCGCTCCTCCCTCCTTTTTCAATTGAGAGCAAAGCCTTTACAAGGTTTTGTTTAGATTGTGACATTTTCCGAGAGAACGAGATAGAAGATTTTTGCTGGTTTATCAGTTGACCCGATACAAGGGCATAGCTCTCTAGGATGTGTAACAATTCCTTACAGCTTTTTGGGTTTGCCTTGCAGAAAAAAGAGGGTGTCATCGGCGAACAAGAGATGGTTTACCGTCGGGCAATTTGTAGGAACACGGATACCCGGAAGCTTTCCGGAGGATTGCGCCTGAAGACAAAGGCCAGACAGAACTTCTCTGCACAAAATGAAGAGGTAAGAGGATATCGGGTCGCCTTATCTTAAACCTCTCGATGGTTTTAGTCTTCCTCTTGCTGCCCCGTTTACGAGGAAAGACATTTCCACTGTGGTGACACATTGCATGATTAAGTTCACAAACTTTGCATGAAAACCCAACCGTAGGAGCACATCCTTGATGACATCCCATTCCAGTCTATCATATGCTTTACTCATGTTTGTTTTCACCACCATTGAACAGTGCTCTTTAGCTTTGGGGGACTTTAGGAAGTGGAGGACTTCATGGGTGATGAGAACATTATCCGCAATCGCTCGCTTAGGTACAAAGGCCGACTGGTTTTCAGATATTAGGTCTTCCAGAAGTGGTTTTAATCGCTGGGAGAGGAGTTTGGAGATGACTTTATAGTGAACAATGGAAATTTCGTGAATAACTGAAACTATGAAGGATTTATTTGGGAGAAAGTGGCAAATTTTGAAGTGACCAATTTTGGAGATTAGATTGCAATTGAAATCAATTTTTGAGTCATTTTTGCAAGAATCCCAAAATACATTCACTTTTTTGACTATTTGCCTTCCATTCTTATTCTATTAACTATTTTAATTTATATATTAAATAATATTTGTAAATGTGAATTAATTTTGTTAATATGTGTACTGTTAGCTAGAACATCAATTAAAATAAGTTCAAATATTTATACTTCTGTTTTGAAACAAAATCAGCAAATAAAAGTCGATCAATCTTTGAATATTAAATATCTTTGAAATACACTAGTTTTGGATATACCAAAATCTAATTGAAATTGCATTTATCATGACAAAATATAGTTTATATCAAATTTTTGTAGCAAAAATATATTCGTCTTTGTAAATGCTACAAAAATGACATAAAGTTGTTCAAATCATAATTTTCAATTTGTTTTTATTGTTCTTTTTATAAAAATTTGTATATGTCTAATTTTAAAAATTCTTGTCTAATCAAACATTTGTAATCTTTTTTTTTTTGTCACAAATTATGTCATTCATAATCAAACCGGGTTTGGTACAAAAGAACTTAATACTTGTTTGGCTAAACCATCAACTACGGTTAGCGAAATGCGATTAACAAATCGAAAAGAGACTCTTTCGAACAAAGTCGAGAGAGTGACGATATCTGCGATGATTCCGTGGAGGTTGGAAAAGCATGATCCTTCTTCAATTGCTGAAATTAGGTTCTTGGAGTCCGATTCAAAGGAGATGCATTTGATGTTCAGCGACAAAGCGTGCTCCATGGCTGCTCGCAGGGCTAGCCCCTCCGCTACGAGGGGTGATTTCACATGCTCGAAGATTGTCGAGTGGGCTTGACTCCATCCATCACAATTTCGCGAATGAATCCAAGCTACTCCTGCTGCTAGTATTTCTGATTTCCAGGCGGCATCCGATCGGCAGACACAGTCTTCTACTGCAGGTACATTCGCGCTTTGTTCTCTTGGGTGGGAGGGGGGTATGATGCTTTGAGCATTGACCCATTCACGGGCATCACCGATTGCCTTTGTTACCGTTTCTTGTTCAGAAAAGCCTCTGTCTTAAAAAATACGGTAATTCCTTGCTGTCCATAGGTTCCAGATTACCCAGGGAACAAGGATTCTCTGTCCGAGGCCCACCGGAGGGAGACAAATATTATCCTGTAGGGCTCTCCATCCTGCTCCAAAGCTATCGTGCGCCGCTGCTCTAAACGATGAAGCAAAAGGTACATGATCCCATACTCTTTGAGCGAAAGGGCAAAGGAAGCATAGGTGTAGGATTGATTCACTTTCCCCACAGATAGCACAATCTGGTTGTGGAATGATCTGTCTGTTTGCTAGGTTAGCATTGACTGGTAGTGCACCTAGGGAAGCTTTCCAGATGAACACTTTTATTTTCTCTGCTGTTGGTAATGTCCAGACGTCTCTTATCCAATTAAATTGTTGCTGCTGCGGAATTGATTCTTGATTCTCCCTATCCTCCAGAGCTGAATAGTAGCCTGTTTTTGTTGAGTAGACTCCTGCAATGTTTTTTAACCAGATTCTTCTGTCTGGTGCACCTTGTTTATTGGGCTTGATGCTTAGTATTTTTGGGACCAGCGATGAGAATAAACTCTCGATCTTTTCTGTGTCCCACTCTCGAGAGTGCAGCTTGAACAGATTTGCCACCATTAAGTCTGAGTAGTTTTCTGGAGCAGGCCCCATTGGTGTTTCCATATTGTCCGATGACAGCAAGGGATCAGTCCAGACTTTTACGGACTCCCCATTCCCTATAGCCCATCCCAAATTCTTTCTGAGTAAATCCCTGCCTATGAGAACACCTTTCCAGCCGTGAGAACAACTCGTTGGATATGGGACCTCTAGGAAGTGCTTTTGAATGCAATATTTTCCTTGGAGTATCCGTGATAGTAAGCATTCGGGCTTTGTGAGGATCCTCCAGCTTATATTGGCGAGCATGGCATCATTGAAGTACTGCACATCCCGAAAGCCTAAACCTCCATCCCTTTTAGATCTTGTCATCTTTTTCCATGACACCCAAGACATCTTCTTTTCTTCCACTTTTCTATCACACCAAAATCTCATTAGGGCAGATTGAATGCGCTTACAAAGAGATTGAGGGAGCTTGAAACACGACATGGCATGTGAGGGCATAAAGGATAAAACACTCTTCAGCAGCGTCAATTTCCCTGCTGCTGAGAGGAACTTTGTGGACCAGTGGATCGATTTGTCTGATCCTGTCTACAATGATTGTGAACAAGTCTTTCTTTTTTCGGCCAAAGTGTTCTGGAAGGCCTAAATATTTCCCCACTCCTCCTTCATTGTAGACTTGTAATGCTCTCTTAACCCTTTCCTTCAGCTCATCGGGTGCTTTCCGAGAGAAGGAAATAGCCGATTTAAGCTTGTTAATACACTGCCCTGAAGCCTGTTCGTAGAGCTTGAGTATTTCCTTCAGTTTCGAGATACTCTGGGCATTTGTTCTGCAGAAGAACATTGTGTCGTCTGCAAAGAGTAAATGATTGATCCTTGGTGACCCCATTGCAACTCTTATCCCTTGGAGCTTTTCCTCTTCCTGAGCCTTAGAGCATAAACCCGAAAGAACCTCGCTGCACAAGATGAAGAGGTAAGGCGAGAGGGGGTCCCCTTGTCTAATGCCTCGACTTGGTTTAATTCTTCCTCGATCTGAGTTATTAAGCAGTATAGAGAAGGAGACCATGCTAACACACTGCATAATCAGATTGATCCATTTGGGATGGAAGCCCAGTCTTTTTAGCACTAGATCAATGAAATCCCACTCAAGCCTGTCATACGCCTTGCTCATATCAGTTTTCACTGCGATGGAGCATCTCTTAGTGGCTGTTGAGGACTTGAGGAAGTGTAAAAACTCATGCATAATTAGGACGTTATCTGAGATTGCTCGTCTGGGGACAAACGCTGACTGGTTTTCCGATATGAGCTCCGACAGTACTGGTTGAAGTCTTCGAGTTAGAAGTTTAGAGATTATTTTATAGTAGACGTTGCAAAGTGCAATTAGTCTATAATCAGCAACTTTCCGAGGCCCCTGAACTTTCGGGATTAATTGGATGTGAGTTTCATTAACCTTTTCCGGCAAAATTCCTGTCATGAAAAACGTCTTAATTTCTTCCACCACTTCGTTTCCTACTACGCTCCAATTTGCTTGGAAGAAACTTGCTGAGAAACCATCAGGGCCTGGCGCCTTATCCGGGTGGATAGAAAACAGAGCCTCCCGTATTTCAGTGCTCGTAGGGCTTTTGATAAGCTGAGCATTGGTTGCTTCGGAGATCTTAGGTTCTAGCGCCGCATTTACAATATGTTGTCAGTTGCTTTCTTGGGAAGAGAATAGGGTATCAAAGTACCTCTCAATGGTACGTGTCAAGTCTTTCTCTTTAAACCACACTTTTCCCTCTTCATCTTCTAGGACTGTGATATTGTTTATAGCTTTTCTTCCCTTGGTTACCGCGTGAAAGTAACCAGAATTCCTGTCCCCCAGGCTAAGCCATAAGTTCCGGCTTCTTTGTTTCCAAAACACTTCTTCCTCTTTGTAGGCTTCTTTAAGCTCTTTGTTTATCTGTTGCAGGAGCTGTTCATCATTTTGAGGGCTTGTCATTGCCTTATCAAGGGCTTTTTTCCCCTCCTCAATCCGTATCCTGCTGTTATACTGTTGCTTTTTGTTCCACAATACCAAAGCCGTTCGGATTTTATTAATCTTACGCTCCACTGACTCTCCTCCTGCTTCCTTCCAAGTGGTTGCTATTAGATCTTTTACCTCAGGGATGTCCTTTAGCCGTCTGTCAAACCAAAACAATCCTTTACCTTTCCTCCTGGTGGTGTCAAAGCAGGATATAATTGGTTTGTGATCAGATCCTCCATACTTTAGATATTCGCAGTGACCAGAGTGGAAATTTTCAAACCACTCACTATTTGCTAGTGATCTATCTAGTCTGCATCTGACAACTTGGTTGACTCTAACCCCTCTCCATGACAGGAAATCACCCGAGTGTTGCAAGTCATAGAGATCACACTCAGCTAGGAAAGATCTGAAGTCGATAAAAGACCCCTCAGTTCGTTGTGATCCTCCCACTTTCTCCTGATTGTTGACTATATCGTTGAAGTCTCCGGTGAGGAACCAAGCTCCTCCTCTTCTATCAGATAAGTTTGTTAGCTCTCTCCATAGTTGTTGTCTTTTGTTTATATCCGTGTCCGCATAAACAAAAGTAGAGTAGAAACTCTTGTTTTCATACATAATTTGAACATCAATAAAGTTTTTACAGGACGAGAGCACTTCCACTTCGATGCCTTGCTTCCAGAACAGTGCTAATCCCCCTGCAATGTGGTCATGCGGGTGCACCAAGTGCTAATTTGAGTAATCCAATGACTGAAATTTTCGGAGAACAAAGTCATTGGTGTTCTTCGTTTCCGAGAGGAAGAAAAAGTCCGGGTTTATACGTTTCCATATATCCCATATTCGCTGGCCTGTCAAGGGGTTCCCCAGCCCTTGACAGTTCCAGCTAGCTATTTTGAAGGAACTAACTTAGGCGGATTCCGAAAATCCGCCTTCTGCCTTACAGTTGCTGGAATAATGTTACACACAGGTTGTCCTGTGGAAGTATTCACCTCATCACGAGGGAGATTTAGACGTGAACTTGATCCTTTAAGTCGTCTATTTGTCTTAGGAGAAGCACTTGTAGTTCTTCCCCTCTTGGAAGATGCTCCTTTAGTTTGAAGCGCTCTTCATTTTTTCGTAGTGGTTCCATTTCCTGACTTCGGGGGTCTGCCCAATCTTTTCTTTGCAGGCACTCTTGCGGGGATTTCTGGGACCTCGGTGATTGGGACATCATTCAAGTCTAGGGGGCCAAGTCTTTGAGCGGCAGGGAGGCGCTCCTGTGAGACAGGGTCGTGTGCAGCAGGGGGCTCCTCCGAGATACCCTCATGGCATGCTTTTGCGCGTGCTGCAGACAAAATCATTTGGATAGCGGTTTCTTCGACTTCCCCTTGTTGTTCTGCAAATCTCATTCTCTCTTTTCTTGCAGCGCTCTCAGATGGATCAATGCATTTGTAATCTAATATACCAAAAACCACCTAAAATTGTAAAAAAACAAAAACAAAATTCTATTTAATAAACATAATATTGACATAAAAATATACAATAGTTTAATACTATTTTTTATAATTTAATAATATTTTAATTTTTTTTTAATTGTCAATAGAACAATAATATCTAATTTTTATACTTTTAAACTTGTTTTTATTAATTACTATCTAAATTTTTAAAAACTTTCCTAATAACAACAAAAACAAAATTAAATATTTTTTAGAAATTTTACTAATAACAATAAAAACAAAATTAATTAATTTATATATATATATATAATTAACTATATATGATGATGTGTACTAATAGAATTGAATCTTTTAAATCTTATGTGGACACTCTTAGAAATATATAACATCAATTTTTTATTAGTAATAGATTAAAAATATTAACTAATCTAAACTGTATCAAATTCTCTCTTTATGTTTTCTGCTTCTCCATTAAAATTAAAACTTAAATTTTACTCACAAACTTATGTTCCACTGTTTTTGGTTTTGGTTTTTTTTTTTCGGGTTAACCGTGGGTATCTCCATTGTTTTTTGTTTCTTTATCCTATACGAATGTGAATCAATGTGTTATACCAACTGAATCAGATTTTCAATATTTGAACCAATTCAATATTTATTTGTTTGATCTACATTTGGTACTTTTGTATTTAAGGTAACAAATTGGCACTTCGTGGGGAGCATCTCCTAAACGTGAGAGCCTAGTTCTTAACTTCTTATCCTTTCTAACTAATTAAACAAAACATTTTTGGGTAGTCATTTATAAAAGATATTTCTTTTCACAATGTCATATACTGAGTAACATAACATCATATAATTTAATAGAATAAATAATAATTTTAGTATTTTGAGATAATATAACATGTAATTCAAAATACATCAGAGATTTGACGATAACAACAATATCGAAGCCCAAAAATTCAAAATTCGGAAGGAAAACGATATATAAATAACTAACTTACAAGGAGCCAAACCAATTTCTTAGAAACTTTTATCAAAAAGTATTCAATTTTAATAGAAAATCATAGAGATCGTCATTAAGGCGATGCCGACCAATCCAGTTCCCGCGAGTTTGGTTGCAACACCCTTGTCATCTTCAGGTGGTCCTACAATTTATTAATCGCATCTAGTATTAGTAACAATCATAATACCTAAAAAAAAGTTTTTATCTAATCCCATTTATTTGATCAAAGGTTTACATTCCCCTAACGTTCTTTGCATTGTAATTTAACGATTATGTAACAAAATTCAGTAACGTTGTTATAGTTAAAGAGAAACGGTGCAACTGGTCGAACTCCTTGAGGCAATGGAGTTTTCGCGGCTATAAGAAAGAGAAGGAAAAAAAATGAAAATGAATCAAGATCAAATATAACATGTTTGTTAATATTTAAATTTTATAAAAAATAAACTACAGTATTAATAACTCAAGAAGTTTGTAAATATAAATTTTACCAGAACACATAGAAGATCCAGCATCGATGCCACAACTCTTAGGGATTAGAAGAGCATTTTCGACGGTGAGATTGAAGCCAGCCAATATCTTAGGGTTCATAAGGATATCACAGAGGCACTTCACCTGCGTCTTCACCGCTTTGTCTAGGCCTGTGCAACATTGTTCTGATGGTTTTCCTCCCTTTACAAGCGCCGCTGCGCATAGACCTAAATCCGCCCCACAAACCATACCTGCGATTGGAGGAGGGGCCGCCTCTCCTTGCCCTGTAACCGATGTTGCCACTATTAGAAACACGGTTATGAGGACAATGGTCATAGTGGAGGCCGTGGTCGTTGGTGTTTGAGACATTGCTAATGTTAGGGGATATAATATGGCAAAGAAGAATATAAATTGTATAGGATGTTTTGTTTTTGTTGGCTTTTTGTACTTGGTGTCCCTCTTTGTATTTATAGAAAAATAATGGGAATTATTTATATATATATATGAATTCTTACAGCTTTTAATTAGTTAGTCGTTTTCCCAATTTCGGTCTATTGTTGACATAAAAAAAATGTAAATGGTTAAATGGAGAGTTTCTAAAAATAAAATAAAAAATCTTGCAAGCAAGAATCACTGAATCACATTCGACATCAGAAGTAGAGTCACTAAAAAATATTAACTACTTTCCCAATAATCCAAAAGAGTTAGTGAGAAAAGGAAAGAAAATAGTTACCGTGTACTATACGGTCGTGAATGGTGTACACAATATCTATAGTTTTCTCAAAAATAATCGTTTTTTTAGCCAGTTTTTGTTTTTTTTTTTAATTAATTAGAATATCTAAAATTTTTGACTTGGCCAGCATATCAAAGAAATCTAAAATTACAACCAACATATATATATATATATATAATTCTACAATTTTTATTACGAGACTATATTTGTAATTTAATATACCAAAAAACCACTTAAAAGTATAAAAAACAAAATTACAATCTATTTAATAAACATAATATTGACATGAAAATATACAATAGTACTTTAATTCTTCTAACCAAAGTAAATAACTTTTGTCATGTCTTTAGCTTCATTCTTATTATGTATTGGTTGTTTGAAATCATATCTGAATATTTTTACTTTCAAATAGCTTTAATTTTTATAAGTAATAGGTATGATATCATTTAAACGAAAATTAACGTCAAGTGTATTCAAATGCACGATGAAAATTTACATATACTAAATTGTAGATTAGTATATAAGATGTTTCTTTATAAATTTGAGATAAGAATATGTTACGTTGTAAAAGAAAAAGACATCAAAGATTGACGGAAAAAATACCGAAACCTCCACAAAACTCAAAATTCTAATTAAAAAATAAATAAATTAACATACAAAGCCATTGAATCGAACAAAACCAATTTCTGACTTCTCACGGATATGGTTCATATTATATGCATATGAACACTCGTAAAAGGTTAAAAATTAATTATATTCAATTTTAACAAAACATTGCAGCGATCGTGATCAAGACGATTCCGACCAAGCCAGTTTCTGCTAGTTTGCTTGCAGCATTCTTGTCAGCTTCAGGTGGTCCTAGAATTGACGAATCAAAATATTTCACTTCAGTCAGTACAGAAAAACTTTATAATCATACCGCTCTATTTAAAAAAAGATCGCTAAGTTTTCCTCATATTTAGTTATGATAATTTTTTGTTGACAAAAAAACTAGTTACGATCATTTTTATCCGTTTTAACTGAGACAAAAATGACTTACCCTGAGTCGTTTGCCGCAAAGGAGCTTCAGCTAGAAAAAAAAACAAAAAAATCAAGTTATCAACACAACAATAACACTCAAGTCTCTCCATTGCTTGACACCTCAGCTTTTTTAAGCTTTATAAACATGACACTTCAGCAAAAATAATCACCAATTAAAATATTTTATTAATACATCTCATCTATTTATTTTAAGTTTTAAACTTAAACCCATTAAAAACCCAAATATTTTTTTCTATTAATTTTTATTTTATTTTTTACCAAACTCAAGCCCAAATAATTAATAACAGTAAATAAAAAAATTATTATTTTATTTTTTGTCAAATCCAAACCCAAATAATAAATAAAAACAAATAAAAAGAATTAAATTATTGTTTTCTTTTTTAGCCAAAACCAAATCCAAATAATAAATAACAACAAATAAATAATAAAAAAATTATAGCTATCTGTTTATTTGACATAGACATATATGATTGAAACAGTGTAGGCTCAGCATCAACTATGTTTCCATGACAACAACGCAAAAGCCTTATGTTATAAGAAGCTCACACATCAGCAAAAAGTTGAACCGATAAAACATAACAATTTCTTAATTTTCGCGGGAAAACACAATTTCACGGGAGATAATGCAATATTTTGTTTTTGCGGGAAATTATAGTTTATTTGTTTTTGTAAGAAAGCGTGATTATGGGCTTGGCGAGAAAATAATTTTTTTTTTTGGCAGGAATAAACGATTTCTCAGTTTTCGCAGGAAAAAATAATTTTATTGATTTTGGCGGAAAAATATAATTTTTTTTTTTTTGGTTTTTGCAGGAAGATGAAATTTTTGGGTTTTTGTGAAAAAACGTAATTTCTCTGCTTTGGTGAAAAAACACAGGTTCTTGCGGGAAAATGAAATTTTAGATTTTAGGTTTGACGAGAAAATGAATTTTTTGGTTTTGGCGGGAATAGCCGATTTCTCAGTTGAATGGAAAAATGAAGTTTTTTTGTTTTGACAGAAAATACGATTTCTCGATTTTTTGTAAGAAGATGAAATTTCTCTATGCTAAATTTTCAAATTAAATTATATTTACAGTAACCAAAATTTAATTATTTAACTTTAACTAAAACGATATTTTAAGAGTTCAAACATAATTTTCTAAACCAATAGCAATGGTTTTGATATGAATGTTATTGATTATAGTTTGGTAGTTTTAGAAACATATGTTTATAATAAAATATTTGATAAATAAATAAATTTTATAATTCAAAATAATCATATTAATTAATAAATCTTTTTTTAAATGGTATTTTGCTTTATATAATTACAAAGGAGGATCATGTGGCAATTTATTAGAGAAAATAGATTACATTTGTCATTAGCATGAATGTACTAAAAATGTATTGCTTTATTCTTATATATATTATTCCTATATACACATTTATAATTAGTTAGCTAACTAAATTTAATAGCAAATTATAATTTTGAAAAAAAAATAAAAAAATATATATATATATATATATATATAATGTTTATTCAGATTTAAAACATATAAATACATAACTTAAACTAATAAAAAATAAATATAATACTCATTTATATTATAAAAATAATTTTATTATATTAAAAATATATATAAAATTTAAAAAATATCTATGAATTCTAAGCGTGTATAAAAAATATATACAAAATTTTATTATATTATGTTAGAGATGAGATTCGTACCGTCTCTAACAAGCCCGCTATGAATTCTGGTCGGCCCGTTTAACAAGTTTCAGGTCGGCGATATAAAAGAAAATCTTCCATTTATCGAGCAACCCGGAAAAAAAGGAAACTCTTTCTTATCGGCAAGGAGAGCTTCCTATTCTAAACGGGTTGAAGACCGACCTAATCAAGCTATAAATATATGAAGTCATCGACTCCTTAAATCATCCAAAAATCATCAATCAAGACCTAGAGCAAACTAAGCGATCAGATTGTTCTAGCTTTTGGTTAACTTACCTAAAGTGTTTTAGGTCAGCGTTCTTATTCCGACGACCTAAACACCGTTGTATTTTACCAAGCTCCGGCTTCTTCTAATAAAAGATCTCTCTTTTAAACCCTCAAACCCTAGTTCTTCTATAAGTCGAATTTGAGTTTTTACAGTTGGCGCCGTCTGAGGGGACTAAGAAAGCAATCTTTGACTTAGAATGGAGTTTGAAGATGGTTGAAACATCGATCAACACTACCGACCTCACAGGAGGAGCCTCCGATCCGACAAGAAACACTCAGGATCCGATCATCGACCCAGCCACCGGGCTTCCAGTGATCCACCAGACCGATCAGGAAGACAACACAACTACCGCGCAGAACATCGGTGGGACAGATCAGGTCGGTCAGACGGGTGGCACAAACACGACCGGCCTGCCACAGCCACCTCCCATCGACATGGCCACCATCATCAGGTCGGTCGCAGCACAGTTGCAGCAGGGGATGGATGCTCGCTTCGAATCCCTCCGTGCCGAGCAGATCACCTACAGAGAAGACCTAGATCGGCTTCTCAACTCTAGAGTTCATACCCAAGAGCAGGCCAAACTAATCACCCCTCCTCGCCCTCCGATCCGCAACACAGATACGACCAGGCTAGTCAACAACCTGTTCGGTACAACACCGATAGACGACCTGCGGAGAGCACAGACAGAAGGCTCAAACGCTCGTTCATCGCGTAATACCGCAGGTACCGACCTGACGACGGCCTCAGAGCTTGATCTTCTCCACCAACGCCTTGATGATATCCACAGCAAGATCCACAAGGCAACGACCTCAGCACCAGAGTTGGATAAGATCCTCCAGGAGACCCAGCAGACCCCGTTCACGTTGGCCATCACCAGCGCTCCTCTCAAGGACATAGGCCGGATGAAGCTACCTCCAAGCTACACTGGTACGACAGACCCGAAGCGACACCTGACCGCGTTCAACGCAGTCATGGGACGTGCTCGCTTCACCGATGACGAGCGGGAAGCATGCCTCTGTCAGTACTTCGTGGAGACGCTCTCCAGAAGCGCCCTCACCTGGTTCTCGCAGCTTCCCAAGAACTCCATCGATAGCTTCAAGGAGCTCACAGCTCGGTTCCTGAAGCATTATTCGATTTACATCGACACGGAGTCCACAGCGCTTGATCTATGGGCGTGCATCCAGGGCGACACAGAGTCGCTGCGTGAGTTTATCGATCGGTTCCGATCGATCGTGTGGTAACCTAACCCGGTAAACCGTACTGCGGCTGTGTCCCACTACATCCTCTAAGTCTGTTTCTATACTTAGCCATATTTTCGAACTTTTTCTTTATTTTTCTAAGTCTTTCTTATCAATACACAGCGGAATATAATTAACTCATTTCATTCATTTAACTCTCAAAAACACTTAAACAGATTCGGAGTTCCACACAAATCAAAACACAAGGTTCGCTAACGATTACAACTGATCATCTAGCAACCTAAACGGTCAAACACCAAAGCCATAAGACTCTAAACACAAGTCTTAAATCATAAAAACACACAACCCCGATCCATCCATGTTCATCACTGCCGCCTGGTCTCGCCCCTTTACTGCTTAGTACCTGCACACTCAAAATGAGAGGCATAAGTATTTCATAAATACTTAGTGAGTACGGTCAAAAGAGTACAGGATTTGTCTCCCCAAAAAGCTCTGAATAAATCTCTCTCTAGCTCTCTGAATTCTCAAAAACTAAGATAATAGCCAACAATGGCTGAAAAACCTAATAAATAGAAGCTAAACACGATATGGGGTCTTCATGTAAATAAAGGAAACTTCTGGGCCAATTCTGCAATTCTTCTTGATACTTTTAATAAAACGCCACGCTCCTTCCTTAGTGGGTGACGAGCGTCACTAAAGGGGTGACGATCGTCACCATTTGTGAATACTTTCTGCTTCGAGCTTGGTACTTCGTGGCTTCCACTCAGAATGCTCCAAAAGGTTCCAAAATCTCCAATTATGCTCCAGACATGCTATAACCTGCAAAGACTCTTCTAGGACTCTAAAAATACCAAAAAGACTCAATAAAAAGGACTTATATCATGGTTAAAAACCATAAAAACCATGATATATCAACGGTCATCCCGTAACACCTGGTCAGTACCAAACACGCAGTCATACTTTCGGATTCAACATTCAACACAATCAATTCGCAATAGACATAACCATATCAAACGGCCATGATTATCTAACCTAACCAACCAAGATCAATCCCTTTTTAAGACCCATGTCTACTTCAGCGAGAATCCCACATCCCCTAAGCTAGTACATGATCCGGATTACCCTGAGGTTAGCTAAATACCATCTATGCCACGGTAAACACCACAATATCCCATAACATAAGGATTGCTTATCAATTCCAAACACATAACATGAAAAATCACACAATCAACATGCAAAACACTCAACCCTAGCAATCCTACGGTCCTAGACCCAACCACAATCACGCACTCACCTCAGACAAGGCTAGAAACAGATTGGTCAGAAGAAATCCTGATGAAAACTGCACCAAAACAAAGATATCCGATCTCCCTAAGAATCTCTCGGCTCACGGTACGATCCGATTCTTATCCCCTCGGCTATCTCTTGATCCGTTCACCTTTCTTCAAGCCAAAC